ATATATCGTTATATCGAACAGCCTTATAATATACTAATTTGATTATTGCTTTCTTAACCTCTGAATATTTCTTGTATATGTAAAAATATCTCTAGATTTTCTTTCATCTCGTGTGGCACAAAGGGAATCATCCGCATTAAGAATCTCACTTTAGCTACAGCGTCTCCTTAACTCAAGAGGTCTTCAGCTTTGGTCCCCTCAGCACAAATAAATCAAAATAACCATGCCTCACGTCTTAATCTGCATTTGTAGATCAGATGTGGAGGAATGCATTGAAGAGGGTACAGAAATCTCTGCAATGCATTTATTTTCATCACCTCAATTTTTGTGCCAGTCCAGATAGAAGGCAGTGGTTGCGCTTCAATCTCCCTGAATCTTGAATCTGGGTATAATTTATTTTAATTATCTTAAATTATTTTACTATCACAGCTCCTAGATATTTGACTGTTATTACCTTCCAATCTTTTTTTTTCCTCTTGTTTTTTGCTCAGAAGATTCATTTAATGAAAGGATTTTGAGTCTCTGTTAGATTTCATTCACAACCTGAATACTTGCCAAAGTCTTCTAGGATAACAGACAAACAATAGCATCAGCTGCAAGGAGCCTTATAATGTAATCTTGTTTTTTTCCTTTAATCTATTCGAGTTCACTTGGAGGTTTTGTGGTTTGACAATAAAGACTCTGGTATTTCAGTCAAACACTGACATGATCTGTGTGATGTCTTCTAATGTCCCATGGACTCTTCTCATTTCCAGATGTTCATTATCAACAAAGCTGAAGGGGACAGCTGCTCTCTGTCAGAGTTCACCATCACAGGTTCTACCTACGCCCCCGAGGGTGAAGTGTGAGTACTTTTATAGCTTCTCCATAACTGGCAGATCCTTAAATACATGAATACATAAATACAAAAACATGATATTCTGTACTTGTCCTCAGGTACCAGGATGGTAAACCAGTGAAATCCTCCCAGTATGATGCTTTGGTTGAATTGGCCACAATCTGTGCCCTGTGCAATGATTCCTCGCTGGACTTCAACGAGGTCTGCACCTTTCCTGCTGCTTATTTTATGTGTTTTAGTGCAGTTTTCAGTTCTGGGGGAAAACGATTACATATGACTGCCTGTTTTGCTGCTACCCTTCTGTACATTTGGATTTAAGTGAAATAATCTTTTTATGTACGCTTATAGACTGTATATGAAAGATAGAAGTAGCTTCCAGGGTTGAAAAATTCATCAAATTTTAATCTCAGCTGTGATTTTTCCCATCCCACAACTAAATGAGCACAACCGAGTGATACTGGTCATGTGTGCTACACCAACAGAACGCAAACCAAAGTCTAGTGCTGCACAAATCATTGCTTGATGACATACCCGCATGAGCCAATCACAACTTTTCCGTTGATATTAGTAATATACTACAAATAACAGACATTCAGAACAGTCATGATCATTTGCAATACTTCAGATTATGGGCAAATGATGTTTGGAAGAAATGCAAAAACACACTCCAAACTCCAGCATGATGAATTAATGAGGCAAAGAAAAACAAAGCAATGGTTGCTAGCATGAATCGTCCAACTTCAGCTCATAAACGGGTCTGTACAGTGTATCCATCGAGCTCACAAAGGCACTGAAATAACCAAAGCAGTCGCACTCCATTTGGCCAAAGATATGTGTAAGCTAAACACAGTGAGTAATTAAGGCTTGAGATCCATCATGCAGGTATCGTGAATGACGGAAAACACTATATTTTGCCAGGTGAATAAACGCTTTATTCGTCTACAAAGATTAATGAGCAGGAATGTAGCACAATGTCACAGCTCCCCTTCACTCATCATCGAAACAACTACTGGTAGCCTTAACAATGGCTAAATCCTTCTTTGATGCACAGTCTTTGGGCAAATTTAAGATGTTATAGAAAAGAAATGAGTGAAAGTTTGGATGTTTCAGGTGAAGGGGGTGTACGAGAAGGTCGGCGAGGCCACGGAGACCGCGCTGACCTGTCTGGTGGAGAAGATGAATGTCTTCGACACTGAAGTTCACAACCTGTCAAAGATTGACAGAGCCAATGCTTGCAACTCAGTGAGTGACATCAGCTCCCTCACTTGCATGCGCTGCACATTCCCACCGTTCGTGCTCAGCAGCTTTTTCTCCCTCTCTGTCTCTTTGTCTGATCAGGTGATCAAACAGCTGATGAAGAAGGAGTTCACCCTGGAGTTCTCAAGAGACCGGAAGTCCATGTCTGTCTACTGCAGCCCAAACAAGTCCCGCTCTACCATGGGCAAAATGTTTGTGAAGGTATACCCAGTGTAATACGTGCAGATGTTCGATCTGCATTCGCTGCAGTCTTCTGCTGTGTTGTTAATGTTTCATGCCTCTCTTCTTCCTCACAGGGAGCCCCAGAGGGAGTCATCGAGAGATGCACTCATGTCAGAGTTGGCAACAGCAAAGTTCCCCTCAGCCAAGGCATCAAGGAAAAGATCATGTCTGTTATCCGTGAGTACGGGACAGGTCGCGACACCCTGAGGTGCTTGGCTCTGGCCACACGAGACAGCCCACCAAAAATGGAGGACATGATATTGTCTGACACTGCCAAATTCATCGAGTATGAGGTGGATATACATTTGCGTAATCTACTTGTAGCACATTCTTTTCAGGAGCAGGCTTTCATTTGAATCTTTGTCTCTGTGTCCAGTCTGACCTGACGTTTGTCGGCTGTGTCGGCATGCTGGACCCTCCCAGACAGGAGGTAGCTGCTTCTATCAAACTGTGCCGGCAGGCTGGCATCCGCGTCATCATGATCACCGGGGACAACAAGGGCACAGCTGTGGCTATCTGCCGCCGCATCGGCATCCTGACCGAGGAGGACAATACTGAGCACATGGCTTTCACTGGACGGGAGTTTGATGAGCTCACACTCGATGCCCAGAGGGAGGCTGTGACCCGTGCGCGCTGCTTTGCGCGCGTGGAGCCTTCACATAAATCCAAGATCGTTGAGTTCCTGCAAGGATTCGATGAAATCACTGCTATGGTATGAAGTTTGTCGTACTGATCAAAACTGCCCATTTCTGCGTGAATGGTTCATTCTCTTGGCTTTGTAAGGGTCGTGTTGATTTGCTGGTGTTACTGAAGAAAAAGGCAACACTTACTATAAAGAACATGTTTGTGTACAGACCGGTGACGGGGTGAACGATGCCCCTGCGCTGAAGAAGGCAGAGATCGGCATCGCTATGGGCTCTGGCACTGCCGTGGCCAAGTCAGCCTCTGAGATGGTCCTCGCTGATGACAACTTCTCTTCCATAGTGGCCGCCGTTGAAGAAGGCAGAGCTATTTACAATAACATGAAGCAGTTCATCAGATACCTTATCTCTTCCAACGTGGGTGAGGTCGTCTGGTGAGTCTTCTTCAGAGGAGATTAGAGCTCAGTCTTCTGTTTTTTATGAAGCTGAGAAAAACAACTGTTGTTTTACAGCTTTACGTTCACACAGCAACGCTGTTGATAATATTAAAGTCATATTTGCTCCAGTTTATCATTAGCACTTTCTGACTGGAATGGTTTCTCCTGACAGCATCTTTCTCACTGCGGCTCTGGGGTTCCCTGAGGCCCTGATTCCTGTCCAGCTGCTCTGGGTCAACCTGGTGACAGACGGCCTCCCTGCCACCGCCCTTGGCTTCAACCCCCCAGATCTGGACATTATGGAGAAGCCTCCTCGCAATGCTAAGGAGCCCCTGATTTCTGGCTGGCTATTCTTCAGATATCTGGCTATTGGAGGTTGACTAAAATTGAGCTGGATTGGCGCTGTCTTGTTGTTTTGTTTTTTTCCCGCAGTACATCCAGTGAGTAATATGATGATTTTGCTGTCTTTGCTTCCAGGCTACGTAGGTGCTGCCACTGTGGGAGCTGCTGCGTGGTGGTTTACAATCTCTGATGATGGACCGCAGGTCACTCTGTACCAGCTGGTAAGTAGGTCTGTCTGAGAGAACATCCTTCAGCTTTCCTCCGCTCTTTGTCTCCCCCTCACTCTCCCCTCTTCCTCCACACAGAGCCACTTCCTCCAGTGTGCCCCAGACAACCCAGAGTTTGATGGCTTGGACTGCCACGTGTTTGAGTCACCCTACCCGATGACCATGGCCCTCTCTGTGCTTGTCACCATTGAGATGTGCAATGCTCTGAACAGGTAAGGGCATTTTTAAAGAGTGGAGGAGTTCTCATGAAAGAACCATTTGCAATGACACGATGATAGACAGATTGTATAACCAGATCCACCATCTGTGCGCTCCCTCCTTTCCAGCCTGTCAGAGAACCAGTCCCTGCTGCGGATGCCTCCCTGGGAGAACATTTGGCTGCTAGGGGCCATCTGTCTCTCCATGTCTCTCCACTTCCTCATCCTCTATGTGGAACCTCTGCCTGTAAGTTTAAAAAATAAGAACAGTGTGTTCATGACTTGATGACATTGGCACAAGTCAAAGTGATCTGTCTGCTGCAGTTTTGGTTTTTATGTGGATTTTGACGCCCTCTAGTGGCCATTTATTATTGTTTGTTGGGGGGAAAATGACCTTGAAAGGTGGAGCATGAGGGGGGGAAACAGATCCAAATAACTTTATTTGACCTCCTAAGACCTGATGTCCTCATATGGACATCACATTTTGGGTTGTCTAGACCACAACACTAACTTTTGCTCTACGAGGGCCTGATGTCCTCTTCTCAGAAACTACATTGGCTAAAAAGATAATTCTTTATTTTTACATTCATCAGGTCCCGATCAGCCCAAATAGCAAAGAAAAATTAAAAATGCATGCCATGAAAGAGTTTAGGTCTTAGGAGGTTAAAGTGGAAATTCACTCCCAGTTCAGGCTAACGTTACCAGCTTTGAACATTAAAAATGTGGCATGGAGCAGGCGTGGATATGTGAGGCCAGTTTCTCTGTAACATTTAAAGTGAAAAATGATGAGCAACACAGAATCACAAGGCACCGCTGCCACAGGGGGATCTTTGGACATGGAGGGCTTTCCCTCCATAATCCTCTGAAGTGGACATCAGTGTGGTGAAGTACCATTTGTATCCAGGCCAAACTGATTAGAGCCTTTGGCTTCAGCTTCAGAATGGCCAAAGATGAAGCTCTCAGAGCTGAGGCAATGCGAGTGCAAGAAAGGGATACGACTGCTGGTTTGGAGGGAAAGAGAGCAGTCTGCTGGTACTTTACAGACTTTAAAAGCAAAGTGTTAAACAATGTGCCAACATTTAAAAATAAATAATTAGTAAATAACAGTGTAAACTCCTGCAGAGGATGAATATCCATTAGTATACTTTCCATAGTTAGACCCACTTACAAGCGAGGGATGGGGTGTGGATGGCCCACCTGTGATTACTGGGTGTTGTCAGGATGGGCTTTGGAAGTTTAAGGATTATTTAAAACAGCAGATGCCAGATAGAGCCATTTTCATCTGACATGTAAATTTGTGTTTTTTGGAAAGAAATATCAATACTACACCAGTACTGATGTATTCGAGGACAGTACAGTACTCTCTGACTGCCCTCTACTTTCAGGTACTTCATAGAAATTATTGGGACCACCTTGAAATAAAGAAACAGTATTTGAGTTTAAACATAAAAAAACATAACTCTGTATATGTTAGACATTTTATCTGGTAGGGAATAAACACCCAGGTGATCTCTTCACTGCTGTTTCCCATCTTTGAGGCTGACCATCTCCTGTGTCCAGCTACATATTGAGTGTACTGACATAAGAGCCGTGTTGATCGATCGACTCTGAGCTCATGACAAAGCAGTGTATTTTTATAAAAGCTGAATAAACGTCACCACACACTTCTTACGGTCATGTAGAAAACACTGGTAGAGTTTAATGTGTTACCCATGCTGTGATAATCCTCATAAATCTTTATCTCGCTCTCTTTAAAAAGCAGCTGTAAGTTATTTGCGTATTCCCTCCCAGGTCATCTTCCAGATCACCCCTCTGGATATGACCCAGTGGTTGATGGTGCTGAAGATCTCGATGCCCGTCATTCTCCTGGACGAGCTGCTTAAGTTTATGGCCAGGAACTACTTGGAATTCGGTAAACAACTGGAGAAGCCGACAAGCAAAGGCTGCTCTCTGTCTGCATGCGCCGAGGGAATCTCCTGGCCCTTTGTGGCCATCTCCCTGCCCCTGGTGCTGTGGATCTACAGCACCGACACTAACGTGTCTGCCATCTTGTGGCCCTGACTGACTCCAGTACACTACCCTCCTTGTGCACCAGTGTGAAGTGGACATTAACGCACACATCTAACACAGTTACATTAACTCAGAACAAATTACAGCAACAGCATTTACACCTTCTCCAACCGCTGTCAGAACGCCTCTGTTAAGTACATTTAGACTTGCACATATTTTTGGGTGGCCGGTGCTCGAGTAATATTTTACCGACATGATTTATGTTCCATGTTACCGTTGTGCTTTTCTCTGTTTTGACCCCCTTTGAGAATAGCTAGAGAAGCCCACTGCGTTGGAGCGACATGTTGAGCTGTACAGAGAGAATTTATTTACTATTCTGTAATAATTAATATTTTATAATTTGGGGAATGGAGATTTCTGAGGACTGCGTAGTTTAGTTCAATACTAATTTAGGGGCAAAGACTTTCAGCGGAATACATTTGCCCAAGCATGAATCACAGTTGAAGTCCGTGCATCGTACTCATTCATTATTTTCTGCATTAGGCAGAGCACAGCTACCTCAGTGCTGCTGATTTGACCATAATGACCCATTTGTCCAAGCTGTCATTTCATATGTGATCATTTGAAGTGTTGAGGTAAGCACCAGTAGAGTCAAAATCTTCACATGTATTTTAATGTGCATATATATATAGAGAGCGAGATATATCGATATATCTATCTATATATAGATATATCTATCTATATCTAGATATAGATCTAGATATTGATCTATATCTAGATATAGATAGATAGATATTTTTTTGTGTTCCTCTGTTATTTGAGGGAAGAGGGGACAAAGACATGTTACCAGCTTGATTTTGAGTAAATTCTTGGTACAGCCTGTTGTTAAATTTATTTACTTGAAGAAAACACATTTGTCTGTGTTGTGTGTGGGGGGGGATGTTTTTGGGTTGTTGTTGTTTTTTTTTTTGTTTGTTTGTTTTTTTAAAGTTAAATCGTTGAGATTCATTCTAAGTTTTCAGTCCTAATTTTGTGTGTTAACGACAGTAATCTTTATGTATGTAAAATGTGCACATACTGTACTTGAATATGTAAAAAGGCACCAAGAAGCTGTTAGTCTTGCAAACTGAGCACAACGTGGACGGTTTGATAGGCGCTCAGACCTCTGATTGGCTGCTGTCGGAGGCGTTTGTATATCTGTACATAGAACACGACATAGACTCTATACATTTCATTTCTTCCTGCATACATTCACACCCGTTTACTCAAGCGTAGCCTTTCTGCATGCGCGCTCCGATAGACCAGAGAGTGTTTTTTTGTTTTTTAATTTGAAAAGCTAACTGTTGTTTCTTCCCACGCCTTCCCCCTATTTACCTGCAGAGTGAGTACACTTTGACGTGCATGCTAACTACTGCCGCGCTCTCGTCTGTATGGTGGTTGCACACACAGCTTGTCAGTCTGTCATTGCTCGTGTCGAAATGACAGCAATAACTGCTCCTTGTGTTTTATCATGTAAATACTTTAAATGGTACAAAAACAGGAGCTTATAATGTCACTAAGTGCCAGATGCACACTGAGCAGAAATGGGAACCTTGTGCATTTTTAAACGGGCTCAGTGTTACTGCTGGTGCCGCTTATTTTTGAATGTAGGCTTGCAGCATGTTTGGGCAACTGGCAGAGATGATGGCATTTAAACGCCCCCACACCGTTACAGGACACGGTGTTGTATGTATTTCTTTTTTTGAACTGCATTTGTATGAATCTTCCGCCCTCCTTTATTGCATGGCCTTTATTACTCTGAAATTCATTGAAATGATCTGCTGCTCAGATGCTTTTTACCTTGTTTTGTGATTTCTCGTGTCCATTGATCTGTTTCTTCCTGTCTCCTCTTCTTTTCTTTTTTCCCTTTACAGCAAATCCCAAGTAAGCCCATCTCTCCTGTAAATTCCTAGCAGAAACTTTGGTTTGGTTTTGTGTTGTGCATGTGTGTTTTTCAGCACATCTTACAAGAGCTGAATGCCAGTGAAGTGATGACAGGGGCTCAGAAAGTTCACGCATCATTTTTACAGAATGCCCATAAATGAATGTCTGATGGAAACTAGCCAGTTCCGCCTCATCGGTCCTTCCATCCTCCTGCATGAAGAGCCTTAGATTGCCATACAATCCTCATGCCTTCATTTTAGACTAAGAGCTTAGTACCTTGTACAGTCAGTTGTACATTATTCTATGGTGCATGTCTGCTCAGTCAGCCATCTGTTTTACCAGACAAATGTAATAGATTATGTATAAGTTCAAAAACACAGTTCATCTTTCCTAAGGAAATACTTTTATGAGATAATAGATTTTTCTTTTTGCTTTACACTGAGATGAGCAGATTTTTTGCCAAATCTGGGAAGGCAGGTGTGCAGCGATGCTGATGTTTTACCCTTTTAACGGCAGGCGGTCCCTCCACTGGCATTTTTTGCCAAACTGCTGTACTGTATTTTCAGAAATGATTGTACAACGTATCACATGGACTTTGGTTTCAGGTAAATAAAATTAAAACTGTCATACACTAAGAGTTTGTCGCTGAGTTTTTACTGCTGTCCAGGACGACTGTAACAGGCCACAACAGTATGACTTCATTCTGGAGCATCAGTTTCATTTATCACTGTTGGCTACCAGTTGTTAGCTCATCACCTTCAGAAAAGATGTGCTCAATACTATAAAATGCCTGAGGATTTTTAGGAATGATCTCGACGCAGCTGTGATCCTGATGCTGGCTGGAAATTTGAAGCAGCTGGAATTGAACAAAGGGAAGGGATGTGAATCAACATTTGAATTTATGTGTTTCAGCATCTCATCCCACTGCGTATCTGACCCAAACCTGTTAAAATAAATTTTACTCTAAAACTAACCTAAATGTAAATGAGGAAAAACTATTTTTATGAAATAAAGGAAATGATTTTCAAAATAAAGATTAAGCTAACAAAAGGAAAATGTGCAAAGTTTTATATTCTTTGTTTTGGAGGATTGTGTGAGCTCCCTTGTGCAAATATTTAGTGAGACTCCAGAGTCCACCTCAAATCCAGCCCCTGTGACGCTCCATTTGAAACCCCTCCTGCACAGCTAGAGCAGAGTGGAAGAAGCCTTAGGATTTTCAAAATAAAGCATCACCTATTCAATTAGCTCAACTTTAATGTGTTTGGTAACTTTTATTTGCTTACTGTTAAGCATGTGGGTCCATGAATGTACCCTGTTGAGCTGTTTTTGCTCCTTCGCCCTCCCACTGAGCAGAGAAATGGAAGAGAGAATGAACACACTGATCACCAGGTGATGATAATTTATAAGCAAGTGGGATGACTTTAGAAACAACTCTGTGCACGTCAGGTGTTTCATTATTTTATTATACATTTTAAAAATATGTACAAAATACTATAAAGTTTTGTTTTGAAATGATAAACTAAAATATTCCAAGTTATGTTATTTTGATACAGAAGGCAGACCTAATGGACGACACAAACACACACAAATAAGCAGAACTATTACATGACACAAAAACAGGTTTTAGAAAATTCATACAACAGATTTTAAAGAGCAGCAGAAATTCAATGTCACTTCTGGTATATGTGTGACCTTTATTGTGACACTTCAACACCCACCCAATGCCTCCTTTGTGGTAAACGTGTCCCAAAATAAAAATATTACACAAGTCATAGTAACTCCAGTCATTTTTTTTTTTAAACTTCAAACCACAGTTTACTGAATCACCATCTAATTTTAAACAAACTTCAGCTGCTCATTTACTTGCATCCTCCATTCCTGGGAACAACCTCTCAATGCAGGATACATGACTCACTATAAATAAATAGTCTTTTTTATTTTTAATGTCTTTGTGGTGTATTCTGAACTGGCTGACAGGCAAGAAGGGTGCACAAATAGACAAGGTAATGTAAGAACTTTGGGTGATTCCTGGATTTATAATGCTATGCATTTAACAGACCTCAGAGTGACACTTCTAAGACTGTCAGACTGATGGGAAACGGCATTGGGGCCAAAAAATAAAAAGAAATGACTGGAGTTCTGCATCAAGCTGCATTTTAATAAAAGTTCTGACGGCTTCCTGTAGCTGTACTGCAAAGTTGAGCATCAGTTCATCCAGGGGCGCAAGCATTAATTGTTGTATCTTAGCCGTGTTGTCGTCTTTAGGTTGGCATCATCGCTTGGCAATAACCTCGGAGATCACGGAGGTTAAACATGCAGTACAACCTTCGTCTTGTTCCGTCTGACAGCCCTCATGGCTGAAGGCTTCCCGTGGGCTGCCGTGTGATACTGACAGAGCGTCTGTCAGTGGACCGGAGTCACTGCATACCAAACCACTGTTCCTGATCGGCCCACTGAGCCGCCTCACTGTCACTGCCCTCAAGATCGCCGTCCTCCCCGCTGCCTTCCATGTCGTCACCATCCAGCTCCACTGTGGCGTCTGTGGGGCTCTCCTCCTTCTCCATCTTCTGCATGCCTTCTAATGATTTCTGGTCATTGGGATCCAAGCTTAGGACAGAAAACGATACAGTGTTAAATTCATAAAAAAATACTTACTAGATTTTATGACAGCGTTTTCCCAGGATCAATAATCAGTGTTTACCTTAATGCTATACTGTACTGGTCCATGGCTTCTTGGTAATCATTGACTGCCACCAGGAAATCTCCCAGCATCCTGTGCAGGACACAGTCACTTTGATTGGCCAAGGCGTTCCGCAGGAGAGCGATCCCTTCTTCATATTTCTGTTCCCGGCCTTCATACAAGAAAAAAAAAGCAAAAGCAACAATTTCATCTCATCTGCATGTGAAGCTTCTTTTTCCTCCCTTAAAGTCATTAAACTGTAGATTTATTTATCATTGGGGAAAAGAGGAAAACACAACTACTTAGAGTCTTTTTTGCTGTACGTACTGAGGAGTTCAGCCTTCTTGACCACAGCCTTGGTGTAGTCAGGTCTCTGGGCCAGTGCCTTGTCTAAAAGGGTTTTGGCTTTCTCCTGAGTCACTGGGTCTTCCAGACACACTGTGGCGAGGATGGTCAGAGTCTGTGCATTGGCTCCTAAAGTCTTATAGATGTTGTTAGCCATTCCCATAGCCTCACGAATCCCATTGGATGCCAGATAACAGTCAATTAAACCTGGAGTCAATAATACTTTGTTATTGCAAGCGAAACAAAAACAATCTGAAAAGCCAAAAAAAAAAGAAGAAAAAAGCTAAAAGTAAGCCTACCTTCATAGCAGTCAAGGCGGCAGGGTGCCAAACGCATGGCCTCTCTGAAATGGATGATGGCTTCCTGAACTCGGCCCATGTTTCTCAGTGCCGCACCCTTCAGCAGCAGTGCCTGAACACTGTTGCTGTTCAGCTGGATGGCCTTGGCTCCCAGGTAGAGAGCCCGGGAGTAACGCTTGCTATAAAAACTGTGACATCTGAACACCGCAAATTGAAAAGTTTAATGATATAAAACACGGAAATTACATGAGAGAGATTTTGTGTGAGAAAAGTGAGACTACTCACCCCGAGATCACCCACGGTTCAGCGTGCTGATCAGATATATTAAATAATCGACCTCCCAAGACTTCAACATCCTCCAGGTGTCCCTCACGGGCCATCAGGTAGCCATAAACATCCATACCTGAAAAAGCAAACATGTTTCCACGTCTGTCTTTATTAAGGCTACTTAGACTTGTGTGACACACAGATTACGATAATAAAACTGTCATCAACTACAAAATACATGTGTAAGTCAAAACGTTCTCTCCTGTAACACACCTTTGATGAGGTAAGGGTCCAACATCTGGGCTTGTTCAAATTTGAGAATTGCATTTTTCGTGTCACCTGCTCTGAAATAGACATCTGCCAGGCTCACCAGGAGGTCCACGTTGTCCCGCAAAAGTGATTTCTTCTCCAAAGAGCTGAGAGTGTTTCAGGGAGGAAGTTAAGACTGTCACAAAACACGGCTCGCAATATTCACTCACTGTGTACAAATCATTATTGCTTTGCTCACCAAATGGTATTAATAGCTCTCTGGTTATCCCCTGCATGTATGAAGGCGTATGCTTTGATCCAAACAGATAGCCAGTCAAGGTTGGGGATACTCTGGATCGCATCCATAGTCATGGAAGCCACCTCGGCTCCTTTGACTGACAGAGAAAGAAGACCTAAAGGAAAAACACATTTTTCAATTATTTAAAAGAGATGCTAAATCCAAGCAGAAGGGTTTTTTTGTTTGTTTGTTTTAAAGTGGCACGGACATAGGAGAGCACTGCAGGTACAAACATCTTAGCAGATGAAGTGCTGCTTGTGGGATTACAGAGTCTACAATGAACATGCGTACCAATGATTGCATCCAAGGCAAGAGGGCACTGTCTGAGGACCTCTTTGTAACTCGTCACAGCAGATCGCTCCTGTCCAGCTTTCCTGTACAGGTTAGCTAGCATCATGTTGATCTGAGGCAGGAAGGAATACAAAAGGTAATTACTACAACTTATACAAGTTACTGCACTTGAACTGGTTTCAAAAGGTTAAATAAAGCTTCATACAGTTCCATATCATATGAGCCCCATTTCAACAAAACTGGATGAATAACTTAGGAAAAGTGGAGATCTGAAAACTAGTATCCAACACTGCTTTGGGCCTAAATTTGCCAGAATTCAGGGGTCAGAATCAATGTAGGTAATTTCTGATTTCAATTAATGACTTTTGTTCTTATAACTGATACCCTAGCACAGAGTTTCCCAAAGTGTGGGGCCCAGTATGAAAAGAAAAAAAAAAA